ATTCCATAAACCCAAATTTATTCCATATGAGTCCACCATACCTTCCTATATGCGGTATTTACCTTCCGTTCCAAGTAAATTTTTATGTGCCAACCTCCAAACCTTCAAATGAAATTCTGTTTTGTATGCTCGAGCAACTCATGTATCAACTAGGATTGTCTGTATCTTCCATGTTAGGATGGTTATTCTCAAGAGGAGTGGACTCTGCTCCTCATTCACGAGAAAATGGCTGGTCACCGGGATGCCCAGTCCCATGCTCAAATCAAATCAAAACAATTAAACAAAACTCCCCCAGGATTTTTGTTAGTTGGAGGCACCCGTTGTTTCAGGAAAGCCATGGATTGATGCTTGTTGGTGGAGGGGGAGTATAAACTTTACCATTCTATTTGGGAACCGCCTATAATGTGTGTAGCATGGAAGATATCGAGATCTCTCAGTTGTTATGTTGACAGTTAAAGTATACCGCTCAAAATGTTATTTATCCCAATTTCAAAATCGAGCTCTGGCACCTCTACAAATCCCTGCTTCCCTCTGCGAAGGGCCTATCTATTTACTTTTATGTTGAGTCATCACCCTCTTATTAAAAAGCACCCGTTGGAGAGCACCACTGTCATTTGCATGCATTACTGTTAATTTATATTGGGTATGACTATGACTGGATCTCTTTTACCATGAATTACAATGCTTAGTCAGTCCTTGACCTTTAAAGATGCTCTGCATTTATGTTTTGCGGTCTCAGAAAGGGCTAGCAAGATACCATCTTGTTATATCATATTATGATTGTTTTGAGAAAGTGTTGTCATCCGAGATTTATTATTATTGCTCGCTAGTTGATAATGCTATTGATATGAGTAAACATGAGACCTAGGTGTTATTGTGAATATGGTTAGTTCATAATCTTTGCTAAAAACTTGAATGCCGGCTTTGCATATTTGCAACAACAAGAGCAAACAGAGTTTGTAAAAGTTTTTCTTTATCACTTTCAGTTTATCAATTGAATTGCTTGAGGACAAGCAAAGGTTTAAGCTTGGGGGAGTTGATACGTCTCCGTCGTATCTACTTTTCCAAACACTTTTGCCCTTGTTTTGGACTCTAACTTGCATGATTTGAATGGAACTAACCCGGACTGACACTGTTTTCAGCAGAACTGCCATGGTGTTATTTTGGTGCAGAAATAGAAGTTCTCGGAATGACCTGAAAATCCACAGAGCAACTTTTCAGAATTAATAAAAAATATTGGCAAACGAATCAACGTCAGGGGCCCACACCCTATCCACGAGGGTGGGGGCACCCCCCCTAGGGCGCGCCACCTGCCTCATGGGCCCCCTGAAGCTCCACCAACGTCAACTCCAACTCTATATATTCACTTTCGCGGAGAAAAAAATCAGGGAGCACTACTGGAATCAGGATCTTTGCCGTCAGCTAGATCTTTGCCGTCTGCTAGCTGACGGCAAAGAAGGTCTTTGCCCTCAACTTAATAGAAGCTGACGGCAAAGATGTTGCTGACGGCAAAGATCATGTTTGTTGTCAGCCAACCTTGTGCAGTCCGCTAGAGGACGGCATAGAAAATTTGCCGTCCGCTAGAGGACAGCAAATAATGAGGGTGCCCACTAACGAGTAACACCTAAGAGACACTTTCTTTGCCGTCCGCTAGCTGACGGCAAAGAATGTGGGCAAATTAACGTCTGTTAGCTAGGATCTTTGCCGTCTGCTAGCAGACGACAAAGAACCGTGTCCTAACTAAAATCCATCGACGCCCGCCCGCGCACATCTCTATATGTCCCCTCTCTCTCTCTCCGCCCGCGCCCGAGCCGCCGCCGCCCCACGCCACCCCGCCCCCGTGTCGCCGCCGCCCCGCG